ACAGTTGATGATAGCAAAACCGATAATTTATTCCTAATTCTTCCTGCCATTTTAATTTCCATTTTTCTTTTTCTCTGATGAAGTATTCATTGTATGTTCTGGTTTCTACCCTTAAGAGTTCTAGGTCTTGTAACCGCTTCTACTGTCGTCAGCCAAAGGGGAAGGGTGGTTTCATGCCTTTTCTGTATTTTTTTCCCAAATATCTAGCAGGCTGCCTCTAATTATATGTTTGTTAAAATCTTTGTTTAGTTTCTTTGTTAAGTTTAGCTTGCTTAGTTTAGTTCATAACAAGATAAAAACGCCCAAGACTGTGCCTATTAGGTCTATATAGAGAAAACAATAATCAAAAGGACAAAGAAATATACCAATATAGCTTTGCCACTGAAAGATTAACTATAGCCAAAGACTAGAAAGGGGAAAAAAGTTAACTAAAAAGGATTGGAGGGAGAGAATGCAGGAGTATATGCAAATGGCCAAACTAACCAAGAACAGGAGGAACAAAAGTAATGAGGACTTTTTGGAAAAGTGGAAGCTGGCCATTGCATATCTGAGTGGAGAGTTAGCAACATAGAGGGGATCATTAGCATATGAAGAAGGATAGCTAAATTGGCTTAAAGGCCTCACAGTGCATTAGTGACAGAAGTCATGGTGAAGGGTACAGAGGTGTGGGGAAGTGGGGGCTATCTGGTGAGGGATATAGGTTTCAGGGGTGTGTAAAGGTTTTCCCCTGACATTAAGTCCAGTCGTGTCTGACTCTGGGGGTGGTGCTCATCTCCATTTCTAAGCCAAAGAGCTGACATTGTCCATAGACACCTCCAAGGTCATGTGGGCAGCACATGGAGTGCCATTACCTTCCCGCTGAAGCGGTACCTATTGATCTACTCACATTTGCATGTTTTCAAATTGCTAGGTTGGCAGAAGCTGGGGCTGACAGCGGAAACTCACACCACTCTCTGGATTCAAACCTGCGACCTTTCGGTCAACAAGTTTAGCAGCTTAGTGGTTTAATCCACTGCACCACCGGGGGCGTGCATAGTTTTTAATATGTTGTGTGCCGTTGTTTGGTTGCTATAGTGAACACTTATATTAATTAAAAATATACCGGAAAAAATAAAGTTATCAGCTGTTATCCACTACGCGTGGCCCTGATAAAAACTGAGAATTTCACAGTGGAAGACATAATGCACATAACTTAAGAGTGGATGGATCTTCCACTAACATTTCTGCAAGTGAGACTAAACCAAGACAAAACACTAAACACTTCCTCTCAAAGCAGCACTAGTTTAGCAGTGCAGTGCAATATCCTCCAACATCACCATCACTACCATCCCCTGTGAAATGCAAATTCCAGATGATGCCATCAACTTTTTTTATTCATGTATTTAACATGATACCTAGTTTGGCCCTGTGACAATTCAGTAAAGCTATGTTTTAGGAGATAATTCTGATATATCATCGTTGGGCAAGTTCTAAGGGTAAAACATTGAACCTGGACTATGTTCTGTCTTGAACTGGAGTGGCTGCTGGTAGGAAAATCTGAAGTCAAACAGAACAAGCTGCCATCTGCTGTCCTATGAGAGTTGCTTAAAACTAAAAAGTTTGCACCTATAATAGCTCATTGTGTACAGATCCTAATACAGCATTTGCATCACAGGTTCCAAGGCAACAATTACACTGATATTGAAATGGAAGAACTGACTTTCAGAGAAAGGAACAATGTCAAAGCACACCTCTTTTATATGTAGAAGAGGACGTGGCCTGTGTATCCTTCAAACTCAGGCTCAGGGACAAAATGTCCAAGCATAACATTTCTACAGGGAACAAGATCCTTCTACGCTGAAGTTGTTACAAAAAAGCTCCCCTGAACTGTCTTCCTCAACTGAGAAGGTGGTATTTTGTATTAATCTATTGAGAAGTTACTCACAAAATTAAAACTATGCCAGATTGCAAGATGCTTTTTACTGAGTGTATTTTGTAGGACACATCAAGCCAAGAATTTATAGTAATAATGACTGGTAATGAAAAACAATATAAAACATCCACACCTGAGAAGCTTCCATCCCTGAATATCTTGTACATAACAGGATGTTCTTCTGCAAGATTCATCTTCTAAAAATACTTTATAGGCCAAGACCTCATGTAATTAAATTTATTATACACAAAGCACCATAGTAACCTAGGCTGAACGGCATGAAGTCAGTCCCCATCCTCCGGAAGAGAATGAAATATAATTATGCAGTCAAATAAAATATTAAAGGTTGTGCAATGTTTATAAAGCAAATAAAATTATAAGATAAGCTTATAATTAACATAGTAGAGATTACAACCAAAGCTATAAGATCAGCTCTTATTTTCTGATGGCTGAGGTCTAGATCCTACTCAAATTATATTCTGTATTTTTCACCCCGTTTGGTACCAGCTCTGGTTTATGTATTAGGGCCAACCCAGTGATAAAGGAATGAGATTTTGTAATTAAGTCAGTGGTTGATGGTTTCATATCCCAATCCAAAGGCTAAGTAAAGGCAAAGGTTTCCCTTGACATTAAAACTAGTTGTGTCCAACTCTGGGGGGCGGTGCTCATCTCCATTTCTTAAGTGAAGAACTGGCATTGTCCATAGACACCTCCAAAGTCATGTGGCTGGCATGACTGCTTGAAGCACCATTACCTTCCCACTGAAGAGGGACGTATTGATCTACTCACAATTGCATGTTTTCAAACTGTGAGGTTGGCAAAAGCTGGGCCTAACAGCGGGAGCTCAACCCGCTCCCTGGATTCAAACCGCTGATCTTTTGATCAGCAAGTTCAGCAGCTCAGCAGTTTAACCCACTGAGCCATCAGAATTGTATTTGGGATATATATACATTTCTGGGAAAAGTAACTGGCCAAATGCCATTGTTTCTCTCTGTTTCAGTGCTGAGGTAAGACAATTCCATGAGATGTCAGAGCATACAATTCAAGGATTGTGTAGAAGACAACAGTTTTTAGGATAGATCCAATTTCTAGCTTCTCTCTAAAGCTAGAACAGAGAGCCAGCCAGAAAAGGGACTGGCAGACGTGTGCATTTCAAGAGCTCTGGCAATCATAGCAAACAACAGAAATCAAAATGTGGGGTTTACACTAAAATAAAGCTCATGATCTTCACAGTCTTTATGATCAAGTACAATCCCAGAAACTAGAGTCCCACAAGGCATCAGACTCCTTTATCCATGTGGGATATGTTCCCAGAATCCAGGTGGATATATAAAACTGTGGATAATAGTGAACTCTTTTGAAATGAAGGATTGCAGGTGCAAAAATAACAGAGTCATGCTGGAGGACCTGGAAAATGCTTGAAGAAGACATATTTTATTGGACATGGCTAAGCAAAACTGTGGATACCTGTTATGTGGGGTCATAATGTACATGGCTTGTTTCTTAAAGCAAAGCAATGGGATGTGGTAGAATTTCTGTCACAATGAGAGCAAATTTGGTAACCCCCCCCCCCCCCAAGTCAGCTGGAGAGACATCACAATGCCTATTATTGCCTGCCCTGAGATATGAGTGAAATGGGAGACATTAATTCAACAAACAAATAGGAAAATATGTTGCTGAAGGTTTTCATGGCTGGAAACACTGGGTTGCTGTGAGTTTTCCGGGCTGTATGTCCATGTTCCAGAAGCATTCTCTCCTGATGTTTTGCCCACTTCTATGGTAGACATCCTCAAAGGTTGAAGAGTCTGTTAGAATATAAATGAGTGAGCTTCATATATCTGTGCAATGTCCAGGGTGGGGAAAAGAACTCTTGTCTTCTTGAGGTACATGTGAATGTTGCATTTAATTATATGTAATTTCAAGGCCTGGCTGGCTGATGCCTGAGGAATCCTTTGTTGGGAGGTGTTAGATGGCTCTGTTTGATTCTTGTGTTTAATTCCGCTGCTTTTTTAGTCTTGCTCTTTATTTACTGTTCTGATTTTAGAGGTTTTTTTTAAGATACTTGAAGCCAGATAAGAATCAATCAGGGCCAGCTAACACCTCCCAACAAAGGATTCGCCAGGCAGCAACCAGCCAGACCTTGAAACTGCAGGCCATTAAATGCTAATCAAGGTGGTAAATTACAACATTAATATGTTCCTCAAGCAGACAAGAGTTCTTTCTCCCACCCTGGAGACTCCACAGATATATAAACCTCACTCACTTAGTTTCCAACAGACCCCTCAACCTCTGAGGGTGCCTGCCATAGATGTGGGTGAAACGTCAGGAGAGAATGCTTCTGGAACATGGCCATACAGTCCAGAAAACTCACAGCAACCCAAATAGGAAATAAATAAATGGATCCACACACAGAAAAGGAGGGGATTAAAAGCAAATAAGACACAAAACCTTTAGTGATATCCTTGGCTTACGGTTATGGGTCAGTGGCATCACTTACTGAAACTTTGATCTAGTTTACAACTGAAAATTGATACTTCTTCTCATCTCTACACTGACACCTGAAAACTGAAAAAACGTTGACTCCATTCTCCACATCAGTATCAAAAGGAAGACGAAGTTGTTACCCACCACTATTAAACACATGATTTGATAAATGGTGACACAAGTCACAGGCTATATCCAAAGACCAATTTGTAATGATGGCTAGGGTGCTTATGTGCTGTATAAAGCATCCTTGGGAATGCTATTCAGAGAAGAGGATAAAACATTTCCCAAACTATTTTTTCAAATCAACTTTCCATTTTCAGAGTACACTTGATCATCATTATTTAAATTCTATACCACTTCCCCATGATTTCTCATTAGGTTAATATATCATTCCACTTGCGTACAGTGGGACAATTTGGGAGAGACAAAGCCCAAGTGAATGGACCTTGTGTAGTCTCCAAATTCTACCTGTAGACATTTTTTTTTTTGAATTAGGGCAAAGGCATTCTACACACAGCCATGATGCCATTATGCTTCCAGCATATATTTCAGTAGTTAAGGAAAATATTACTTTACAGGACTGAAACTAGGGCATACTTACGTATTGCGACAATAATTGAGAAGGCATGTTCCAATCTCAAGCAGAAGAGGAGCTTGTAGAAGTTGAAAGACATCAGAGAGAAGCACAAGATGACACTAATCCATTCTTGAAGTCTTTTCCCTGTTTGACAAAATAGAATATTTTTTTTTACTTTCAGACCCTTTAGTAAGTTTATATAATAAGATAATAATAAGTTTATTATCTAAATAGCACTTTGAATGACATGACTCAGTGCTATGGAATCCTGGGATTTGCAGTTAGGTGAGGCATTAGCATTCTTTGGCAGAGAAGGCAAAATGTCTTGTAAAGCCGCAACTCCTATGATTCCAAAGCAGTGAGCCATGGCAGTTAAAGTGGTTTGAAGCTGCATTAATTCTGCACCGTAGCTACACTATGGATCACTCAAACCTCACATCTGAATTCTTAAATTGAATTGTGGCAGTATTGCCTTTGCATGAACAGTTGGACAATAGTTACAATGGATGTACAGTAGATTCCCATTTATCCAACATAAACAATTAGATAAGTGAAAATGTTAAATAATAAGAAGGGATTAAGGAAAAACCTATTAAACGTCACATCGCGTTATGATTTAACAAATAAAGCACCAAAACATCATGCTGTACAACAACTCAACAGAAAAAGCAGTTCAATACATGGTAACATTATGTAGTAATTACTGTATTCACAAATTTAGCACCAAAACATCGCAATGTATTGAAACAGCTATGGATCCGGGCAGGAGGCAGACTACGTTGGATAATACAGAATGTTGGATGAATGAATGCTGGATAAGCGAGACTCTACTGTATTTCTAATTTACAAAATTTTAATTGCATTGACTGTTATGCCTAAGAAATGGATTGACCTGTTTATTTTTTTTTTTCTGTGTACAATGAACTTAACCCAGATATACAACTTTAACTAAAAAGAGGATACACACACACATTACACACACACCCTGTAAATCAAAACTATAGGTTTGTCAGAAACACAGCAAGGCAGATTAGGAAATACAACAACAGCATGCTTTCAGAAAAGTATATAGCAACAATTTTGACATGGTTCCAAATCTGTATCTCTGGCATTCAAGTAAGTTAAGACTCACATTTTCTACGGTAGCAAATAGATTCTGAACTACAGAGCTAAAAGGCCAGATCAGTAAGGAACAATTAAAACGTGGGAAACATCAGGGCACTTTGCCTCTCCCAGAGACAAGTGCTTTCAATTTGTTTGGGAACACAACTCTAATCTTTCAAGAAAAGTGCTAAAGATTTTTCTAGAATTAATGGACTGAGCACTCATCCCTTATCCACACAGCCGAACAAAAATCCAATAAGGTCCAAAAGGACAAGAATCAACTTAACCTCAGTATTAGATTAAGACGGACAACAGGTAACTGAGAACTATTGATCCTTCAAGGCAACAATGGGAAATGTCTGTCTTTGCAAAAGCAGAATCTTTTTTAAAACGAGAGATTTGCCACCTGCAGCAACTTTGCACTTATGAAGCTATAAACCTGGGGTAGGAAAAATTGCCTATAAGTTTCATGCACCTCTCCAAAACCACCTAAGGCTAAACTTAAAAACTGTGGCATAGACACCAAGAACTGGGAAGCCCTGACCCTTGGGTGCTCTAACTGGAGGTCAGCTGTGACTAGCAGTGCTGCAGAACTCGAAGCGGCACAAATGGATGGTGAAAAGGAGAAACATGCCAAAAGGAAGATGCGTCAAGCCAACCCTAACCAGGACCACCTTCCACCTGTGGAAGAACATGAGGATCAAGAATAGGACTCGACAGTCACCTACATATCAATCGCAAAGACACTACACTTGGATGGCCATCATACTCAGATAACGAGGGATCACCTAAGGAAGTAAGGAAGGAAGGCCAGGAGTGCCACAATTTCTTTTAATTGTTTATTTAAAATTTCCTCCATTTAGGAAAAGTGGAAAACAATATTGGCTTGTTCTTTGCCTGCCCTGGTAAGGTCATATATAGCTGAAAGCCCATTAAACAATATCCACATACAGTAACAACCAAAGCAGCAAAGCTCCCAATTCAAGGACAATGCTTTCCATAAATAGCAAATGTCTTCCAAAACAGGACAAATTTAAAAGGACATTAAACTATCTTTTGAATAAACAGATCCTGAGATAACCAAGTGTGACACGTTGACAGCTGCTCACTACTTTAGTAGCGTCATAAACACAGAGCATAAGAAGTTGAGGGACTGAAACTCTCTCATCCATACATCTTGTACATCCTTTTTGTTGAAGGCAGCAGTAACCCTTACAGCCACAAAAAGCTCCAACGTATTTCCTTTCCTTGAACAAGTATTTTATTGAAATGTGGTGAATGAAACCGCATTGAGTCGCCTAATAAGGTTGAGAAACGCGGTATAGAAATGAAGCAAATAAATAAATAAATGTCTGCTGGCCATATATCAAACATATTCATAACTAATCCATGATGAAAGACAGGACATTGTTTATTACATGAAATTAAAAGATATTGTACCTGCTGTTTCTATACTATGAAATGTCCAGTAGACATAGATTGAAGTCTGAAATATTTACGACATTTTCAACATCCAAGTTAATAATTTAATATCAAGCATGTAAATCAAGGCTCCAATGGGAGACAAACAGCCAGATTTAGTTACACTGTGACAAGTAAAAAGATAAAGGTTTCCCCTGACATTGTCTAGTCGTGTCCATCTTTGGCGGGTGGTGCTCATCTCTATTTCTAAGCTGAAGAGCTAGCATTGTCCGTAGACATCTCCAAGGTCAAGAGGCCAGCATGACTGCATGGAGCGCCGCTACCTTCCCGCAGAAGTGGTACTTATTGATCTACTCACATTTGCATGTTTTCGAACTGCTAGGTTAGCAGAAGCTTGGGCTAACAGCAGGAGCTCACCCCGCTCCCTGGATTTGAACCGTCAACCTTTCAGTCAGTAAGTTCAGCAGCCCAGTGGTTTAACATGCTGTGCCACTAGGGGAGTGTGACAAGACCCAATGGATTTAACAGAATTTTGAGCTAGCTGCTTTGAGTCTCCTTTGGAAGAGAAGAAGTGGGACATAAACACTACTGCTACTACAACTACAACTACAGCTAATAATAATAATAATAATAATAATAATAATAATAATAATAATACATTCCACTGATTTCAGAAAGATGAATAAATAAATAACCAGTCCCTAGTTGCTAAACTCAACATATCTATTCATTACAAATTAAATATGGACACTCAACAAATGAATTGATTTTTCCCCATTCTATAATTTAACATGGACATAGTTACAACTGGGAAAATGACAGTGAGTTTACTATGCTTAGGACTAACATGCCCACTGTTAACCTATATTTAACTAAATATATTTAATGTCACACCATCTGCCATTTTTATACCAAAGCAGCTGCCATTAAGTAGAGAAGGTAAAATACTGAGTGCAACAGTATGACCACGACCCAGATATATTATTCAACTTCTGTAAGGGACTAATGGGAGATGTAGTAGCCCCTAATATGTAGTTTAAATTCCCAGCACAGATCAGTGAACACGTCAGTCCAATGTGCATCCACTGTGAAAAACACAAAATCTATACTGGGACCATTAGGAAGAGAGAGAAAAAACACCTGCCAATATAATAATGTGTTTATATAAATCCATGGGAGACCAAACTTGAAATAAAGCATAGGGCCCAAGGCACATCAAGAAAATATAATGTACAGCTAGAGAAGGAGGACAGAAGAAGCAACCCTTTGACTGAAGACACCAACATCTGGGGGTCTTCAACTAAAATAAGAATGTGAGAAATGATAGAAATGCATAAAGTCATGTAATACAGCGTGGAGAAATAATATTGACCAAGGCTTCTCTCTCATTAGACTGGAGCTTAAGGTCATCCAAAAAAAGCTCAAAAGAAGACACTTCGGCACAGAGTTCTTTGTCAGGAATTTGCTAAAATAAAATGTAAATGACCTTGTTAAGCTGATTAGACGAAACCATGCAGTACAAGGCGACCAAGGAGAGACAGAATGGAATAGTGGTCTGAACACTGGGCTACAACCCTGGAGACCACGATCTGAATCTCTGCTCAATCACGGAAACTCATTTGGGCATGTTACTTTCTCTCAGCCTCAGGAGGCAAATGCTTCTGAACAAATCTTGCCAATGAACACTCATGATGGTTTGGACGTAAGAATCACAAGTCAGAAACTACCTTAAGGCATATAACAACAACAAAAGGATATAGCTATCAAGGCCACCAATCTTGGTGACTCTTCTCAACAGGATCAGCCCCCACCATTTTGCCACAGGCTACAGTCTGCTAGAACCAACCAGGAACAGAAGATGCCTCATTCAATGTTCTCTACACATCATATTTCCACATCAACATTCCTGATGCATCTAGCTTTAGTGTGTAAATGCAGGTCCTTTTGTTGTTACAATTCACTTTGCTTTATTTATATGTTGTTTCTACCAAAACCAGGACTGAATAATAATAATAATAATAATAATAATAATAATACATTTTATTTATTATACACCACTCCTGATGGCTCGAGGCAGGGAACAACAAATTAAAAAACAAATGAACATAAAAACACAATAAATTACATAAACACACACACACATATGAAAAAGAAGCTTTTGAAGTAGAGGCTGGCTCTCATCTCCAGTCATGAAAGTAGTTAGAGGTAGAAATCACATCCACCACTGTGACTTTAAGCTCATTTGTATATATGTCCCATCCTATCCTATAAACACTTGCACTACTGCATCACATGTAGTAATTTAGCCTGGTAGTTCAGCTACAAGACAGCCTTGAGAAACCTTGAGAAAAACTTTCCCAGTTTCTTCTGTTCTGAATTACACTATAAAAAAAGCTTGGTCTACTGTAGCAGTTTTCAAACTTTTGAATGTTTATCACATTCTTAAATGTCAGCTCACAACAGCTGGGCTCAATAATGACACGAGACTTCCATCGTAATCAAATAAAGAACTTTACTGTCAGACACTAAGGCACAAAAAAGCCGGAATTGCCTGGACGCAGCAGGCAGCCCCTTATATACCCTCCCCCTTTTTCAAGCGGTGAATTCCCGCCAGATCC